TTCATTCTCGTAAATGCTATTTCGTAAAACGAGGGTGTCTAGTAATTTGTTAAAATGCGGCTGGATATTCAAGTATCTTCCTCTTTTCATTACACATTCCTCCATGGAGACAGATTGGCGAGTCGTGAGCCGAATCGTAAACCATCTGGCTTGTGATCACATCTCTCTTCCTTTTACTTCATTCCGGATTGTAATTGTAATCATCAATACTTGAACAGAACGTAATCTTCACTTTTTACAACAACTACAGCAATATTGTACGTGTAATTAGTTAATATTCTCTTATATTCACTAGATTATAGGTTAGTTTTTGTTAATAACAATTAGTCACGGTATTAAAATTAGGCGTTCACAATAATGTTATGTAAAACAGCTAGAATTGGTGGGGTGTTGAGAAACATCAGCAATCTACATGTTATTGGTGTGGGCTGCAATGTGTTCTGAATTCACTGTTCGTCAATCACCGTGAATTCATTATTTTATTTGTGTTTTTAGCGAATTTCCCTATAGGGAAGTAGCTGTTACTGTAGGTGGCTCGGTAAGACCTGGGTCCAGGACCGGTTTACTTTTTCATTTTGGTGACCCCCAGATATATAACACTATTCGTTCGAATTTTTATAAATGTATATACGTCCGTGAACGCACAAAAATAACATGAGTAATTTTTGTCTGATTGTGATTAAATTTGGCCTGAAAATGTATTGTTGGATAAATTGAATGAGTTTGCAAACTATCATTATCGGGCCATGGGAACGGGGTTTTATGGAGTAAAATGAGTTTTTCTCATTTTCGACCCTAAAACATAAAAGTTACCAATTTCCTTTCAAACCATATTGAAGAGCTTAAAAGACAAATAATTTATCATATTGAAGTGTTATTGTACAGTTATTGGTTACGGATAAAATTTAAAAAAATGTAAATTTTAAATTCCCAAGTTATTTTTATGGAATTATAGTTGACTTGTTTATTGATATGTTTTGATCAAACATGGTAAACTTATTTATTTTTTATTATGCTATTAATATTTTACAAAAACCACACTTTATTACCCTCCCTGAAGCAGCAAACCTGGGTACTCGTTAAACCTAATCTAATTCAAATATATTTAATTGGAAATCCAATCAGGCAAAATGAAATTCCCTTAGTCTGCAGGTTTGCTGCGGTGGGGGTATTTTGTAACAGCGTCAATTTTTTTGCAATTTAAGCTGAGTATTATAGTAGAATGCAGTTGGATGTCTTATGTACAGTAGTTATATGTGAGGCTAAACCACGAGACTCTTTATCCAAAACCATTAATGAAAAGTCCAATTATGAAGAGAAGCAGAGCTCAGTTTTACCAATCAAAAAACTACCAAGTCTTCTCAGGTCTTAACCAGCTACCTTCATCTTAGAAGGCTGTAAGCATTCAGGTACTAGCTAAAAAAATAATATTCTTATTATAATAGACACAGGTATCTTGAGCTATGTCTTACATAAAGTAAATAAAAATGAGTCTAATAACACATGAAACATATATTTACACTTGTCCTATACTCCACGATTACTAGTAATCGTGCTATACTCTAATACGCGCTATGTCTGTCTGTCTGTGATATATTTCGAAATCCACCGGAAGCATTTTGACTACATTTTCGAATTAGCGACATAGCCCTAAAAACGTGATTGGCAACAGCCACTACTTGAAGAAATTTCGTATTTCGCCACACTTATTTGAAAACTTACAAATTTAACGATTGGCCTCATGGTGGAAGGAAAATACAGTATTTTCCTTCCACCGTGGATTGGCCTTAAAGTTGGTTGAACAAAATAACAAGCCAAAAGTAAACAAAAGACTTGTAACATGTGTTTATAACAAGAAATCCACAATATACTAGCAAATAACAAAATACAGTCCAAAGGGTAAAACATCAGTTATAACTATTAAGCAAAGATTAATGAAGATTACTCAATAGTATTTTTGTTTAATTGCAAACTTTAAAGTTATTTCATAATTGTTATTATTTAAGCGATCTAATGTTTATGGTTCGTAAAACAAATTTGCTTTATATATTATAAAATTTCTGTTTACGATATTGTTTTAACTATTGAACCTAATTAATTATCAACCGAGCGAGACTTGGTCCCCCGTTTCCACTGTTTTATCAAAACCGTAGATACCATAATGTCCCCGCCGCAGCAACCCTGCAGATTTAGCGAATTTCCATTGACCTGGCTGGATTTCCACTAAAGTATCCTCATTTTAGGTCAGATCTATTTCCTAACTAAATAATATTAATTTAATGAGTAGTAAACTTATTTTTGCTGCTACGGGATATGTTTTATTGGTTTTTATTGATAACTAAAAGTACCTAGTTACTTATAAATACCCCCGCCGCAGCAAACCTGCCGACTAAGCGAATTTCCATTTGTCTGAATTGATTTTCAGTTAAATATATTTTAATAACATTAGGTTTAACGAGTACCTAGGTTTGCTGCTACAAGGAAACTAATAAAGTGTTTTTGAGTAAAATATTGATAGCTTAGTAGAAAATAAATAAATTTGCCAAGTTTGATCAAAATATATTCATAAACAAGCAAACTACAACATTTGACAATATTCTCCATAAGAATAACATGGGAATTTTAAATTTACATTTTTTTAAATTTTCTCCGTTAATAATAATCAAACAAAAATACTTTTATATACTAAATTATTTGTTTTTTTAAGCTCTTTAAAAAGGTCTAAAGAGAAATTGGGAAATTTTGTGTTTTGAGGGTCAAAAGTGAGAAAAACCAATTTTTACCCCATAAAACCCCCCGTAAAGCCCCGTTCCCATGGTCCGATCGTGCTGGTTCGCGAACTCATTCAAGTTTATCCCGCTTTACACCTTTAAACCAAATTTCATGAAAATCGGACAAAAATTACTCAAGTTATCGCGTTCACGGACGTATATATATATATATATATATATATATATATATATGTCTATATATATATATATACATATATAAAAATTTGAACAAATAGTGTTTTTGGCCTCTGGGGACATCAAAATGAAAAAGTAAATCGGTCCCGGGTCTAGGTCTTACCGTGCCACCTACGGTAATAGCTACTTCCCTAGGGAAATTCGCTAAAATGTGTTTAAAAAATATAAATTATAAAACTTAAAACGGCCACCATTTTGAAATTTCAAATTGTACCAAGGCACCCTCGAGTTATTTTTTCTAAACACAGGTCTCTTTTACCTTAAAATACATTTTAAGTTTCAGAACGATCGGACGAATTAAATAGAAAAAAGTCAAAGAAAAAATTGGTGAATATCTGGATAACGATGCGATTTTGGATAACAATTCATCCTTGATTTTCTCTGTATTTTGAACCTTGGAATATTTTTTTGGAATCGGCTCTTTACTTACCCAATCTGAGGAGAACTATCTAGGTGTCAAAGAACTCTCTCGAATAGATTATAGAAGATAATCCATTAGTGCAGTAATTTTAGATTCACTACTGTACCAAGAAATTTGTAGGTTACTTTGTATATCAAAAAATGTAAAAAGTAATTCTCTGTGAAGTACCTATTTAAAATAAATATATTTTGTGATATAATGCTAAGTGAATACATTGCGTTGCTCTGCTTATATTTCATCCTGAATGCAAGATTATACAAGTACGAAATGCATTACTTTTCAACATGGCTTCTATTTAAAATATCTGTGTTTGAATTTAAAAAAGAGCCAACAGCTTTATCAGGTTTATATTTCACTCACAAATTCTATTTATTAAATCTTGTTACCAAATCTGCAAATATTGTCTTAAACGTGTCCGTAAACCCATTACAAATAATGATGGGCCATAAAACAGGAGAAAACACACTAAAGGACCATTAATTCTGGATAATGTCGCCCTCTAGCTTCTGGACTTTAAACATATGTCTTTCTTGTCCGCCCCTACTAGGCCTGATTTATAAAATGTAAATGTCGACAACGGATGCCAAAGCGATATAAAAATAATGTAAATAGTTTAGCTCGATGAATATGCAGCAGATCCACCAATCTAGAGCAGAAAAATTAGATTCATTAATCATTTAAATTTTTTACAAAGTCTATACAGCCCTGTGTATAATCTGTTTTTCGAATGTTGTTCTTCGAATTATTCACTTTGATGTTAATGAGCTTAACAATATTTAGTGCGGAATCATTTAAAACATTTTATAGTTTATATTTTAATATTTAATGTTGTTATAAGCCATTGCAAATATTAGTGCTGATTTACTTGCTTTCGTATACCCTGGCCACGTTGAACAACAAGAACTATATTAAATACAAATTTTGTAGTATGCGACAAAAGCAGGACCCGCAAATATTAATAGTTTTAAAAAGTTAAGCAACGATCCCAACAGGTAAACAACACTGCATTTTACTTCTACTCCACTAAACACACGCATAGTTGTTTATACATTTATAGTTAGTACGAAGAAAAATAAATTATACATTGAAATACAATAATTCTAACGTAGCCATGTATTTATGATTATATCCAATTATACAAGTGCGTAATGTAAAATATTAGTGGCAGTCTTTATCTTTTGTTAATATACGAGTTATGAAACTGCTACGACAAGAGGATGTGATATATTTGTGCTGCTAGTGTTCTAGCACTTCAACCATGCAGTAAAACGTACAGTTTAAAGTTTATTTAGTGCAAATAATATTTAGTTTACATTAGCATACATTTTGCGTAGCTGGACATACAACATTTTGAAAAAGGCACAGAGTTTCCAAAGGATGAAAAATAAACTTGAATCATCCATAGTCAATTCCTATGCTTCATTCCTATGCTGTCAGTAAGTAAATTCCATATGTTCTTCATATTAATTGTTCAATCAATAACATGCTATTCAAGGAACTGTGGAGGAGTCAGCTGATGGCCGTTGCTATAGAGATTACATTACTTTATAAATATTTACTATGAACCGTAAACAACAGGTTATCATTTCCTAAACGTCATTTATAAGTTTACAATGAGAACCTTGACCTCTAAAGCGGAACAGAATAAAAAACTGCAACGTCCAAGACCTCTGCGAACCTGTAGCAGCCAAGACAAACTACATGCCGAACCCTCATCAGAAATGAATCATTCGCAAGACTCAACGCTCTTAGTGAAGGCTATTAGCCATGACACTCTTTATCAGAAAATTAATGAGATAAAACTGCAACAACTAAGACCTCTGCGAACCTCTAGCAGCCAAAACAATCTACCTGCAGGGTCCTCATCCGAAATGAATCATTCGCAAGACTCAACGCTCTTAGTGAATGCTATTAGCCAAGAAACTCTTGATCAGAACATCAATGAGAAAAAACTGCAACCACCACAACCTCTACGGACCTGTAGCAGCCAAGTCAAACTACCTGCAGAACCCTCATCCGAAATGAATCATTCGCAGGATTCAACGATCTTAGTGAATGCTATTAGCCAAGAAACTCTTGATCAGAACATCATTGAGAAAAAACTGCAACCACCACAACCTCTACGAACCTGTAGCAGCCAAGTCAAACTACCTGCAGAACCCTCATCCGAAATGAATCATTCGCAGGATTCAACGCTCTTAGTGAATGTTATTAGCCAAGAAACTCTTGATCAGAACATCAATGAGAAACAACTGCAACGACCAAGACCTCTGCAAACCTGTAACAGCCAAGACAAACTACCAGCAAAACCCTCATCCGAAATGAATCATTCGCAAGGCTCAACGCTCTTAGTGAATGCTATTAGACAAGATACACTAGATCAGAACATAAATGAAAAGTTGATAGAAAAACTTAAAGGCACATGCGCCAAGATGAAGCAGTGCGGTCAACAGCTTGAATACACGCATAAAGATGTACTAAATCGAACATTCGAAATATTTCGTGATAGTAGCCAAAACGTGAATCTTGACCCTACGTCAAAATTGAGTGTTCAAGAATTAGCCAAACTTAGAGCTAACAAATGGTCGGAATGCGAAACAACTCAAATTGATTCTGTCGAGCCTGTGACTGATTCTACTGTGACTTTGCCAACAGACACGAATGCTATTCCAAAATCATCTTTGACTACTTCTGAAGTGCTTGACCCAGGGGAAATTTTAAATCAGTATAAACTAAGACTGAAACAGATTAAATCACATGGAAAAACCGATTACAAAACTAAAGAAGAAATGATAAGTTTCGATACTGGAAAAGTCAGTTCTGGAACTGGTAAGAGCATTGCCAAAATTAAAAGTCATCATGAAGACAAAATAAAGAGTGAACCACAACTAGCAAGTGATATTCGTCACGACATAGACCATATTCGTGAGAATAAACTTGAACAAATTCCAGAGTCTAACTCTAACTGGAGCAAAAACAAAGTTTCAAATGGTCGCCCTAAACTTCTTGACAGCGAATCGCCGCTCTTAAGAAGGCAAATTCGTCAACAAACAGACCGATTCCTTGAGAGTGAACCGGAACGAATTCCAGACTCCAACTCCAACCCAAGTCTCAAGAATGTTTCAAATGGTTGTCCTAATCTTCTCAACAGTGAGTCCCCGCTCCTAAGGAGTCAGATTTGTCAACAAACAGACCGATTCCACGAGAGTGAACGGGAACGAATTCCAGACTCTAACTCCTACGCAAGTCTCAACAAAGTTTCAAACGGTCACCATGAACTTCTTGACAGTGAATCACCGCTCTTAAGAAGGCAAATTCGTCAACAAACAGACCAATTCCACGAGAGTGTACCGGAACGAATTCTAGACTCTAACTCCAACCCAAGTCTCAACAAAGTTTCAAATGGTTGTCCTAATCTCAGTGAAACCCCGCTCTTAAGAAGTCAGATTCGTCAACAAACAGACCAATTCCACGAGAGTGAACGGGAACAAATTCCAGACTCTAACTCCAACTCGACTCTAACGTTGGAGTACTCGTATACAGTGATTCTAGGCAAGTCGGCCGTCAAGATGTCAAGTACCGACCTAGAGGCTGTTAACAGTGCCAAGCTGGTTTTGGAGGAATTTTACAACATTTGGCAGCAAAGGAATAGCATCCGTGACAACTGCGGTGGCACTGCAACTGATATGCTGCTTCAACGAAAAACTTCTTCATCCACCTTAGTGAAACAACCCCCTACCCTCCCATTGTCTTCCACGACCATGGCTAACACTCGCAAGTACAGCAAACATTTCCTTCTGTCCTTGTCTGTGTCGCAGTACTCCCATTTGATTCCTGCAGGATGGGACTCGATTCGGGAAAGATATTCCGTAATTGTTAAGAAGTGAGAGTAGCTATTTTAAAGAGTTATCTTTTTCTTTACGAAAATATAGCTAAACCTATCATGCTTTTGAAGGTTTAAAGTATTTTTTTTAGTTCTGTGCACGATTTTTAAAAAAGTTCATAGTAGATAACGTAGCAGCCTATAAGTACTAAAATAGTCCGATAGTGTTACAGCTCTGTGTTACTTCTGTTGGAATACTTGATCAATTAAATGTTAAATGCTATTCAACCCATTCATGGCGTCTACTTTAATAGTAAATAAGTATATATTTACATTCCTAAGATATTCTTGCATTTAATACATCAAACAAATTGTAACGATCTTACGGTAAATAACTACCCGTAACTCATTTCCATTCTAATAAACCTTTGAAAGTAAGTAGTTTGAGTGTCAAAATACAACCTCAAAACACCCACTCTCAAAAACAATCCTAGCGTAGAAAGATTAAAACTATCTTATCTTACTAATATTATAAATGTGAAAGTTTGTGTGTTTGTTTGTTTGTGTGTGTGTTTGAAGTTCAATCACGCATAAACCACTGGACGGATTGGGCTGAAATTTGGCATAATGATAGATTACATTCCTGATTCCTGATTAACATATAGGCATATTCTTATCTCAAAAATCCTTTCGGGCTCCGCCCCAGTGGCTCTGTAATTCCCCATGTTAACCTTATGAGTATTCATATTTAAAGGGAATTAAAGAATTTAGTCAGCTGTTTCAACTAAAAAAGTTGGTTCTATGATATGGAAAAGCATTAAAAAGTTATAAGACTTACCAACAGGGTGCAGCACTAAATTTTTTTTGCATTGATGAAAACAACTAATTTGAACTAAGCAGCAACAAAAAACTGTGATTCGCAATGAGAACTGTCAAAGTAGGATTGTTTATTTACACTTATGTTTATGTTTTACATTTCATGAATAATTTGTGATATTTTGCGAATTGTTGATAATTTATATTTCTCTGTTGCTTAGGTGAAGTGGTAGAACGTTATGGCTATGGTAGATGTGTAATACTATAGAATATTGTAAATTTAAAAAAGCTAATTTTATCAATCTGTGTCCTCCCTTATTGCAAACGCAAAGCTTGAGTATAACTGCAATAAGCATTTTATACTTATATTCCAAATCACATTTAATTTTTTTAACCTTTCAACATTCGTATTGTGTCATCAAAAGTACGTGATGTTAGTATAGTTATCCAATAGTCAATGATAGTATACTCAAATAAAAAACCATAGAGTTGAAACACGAACTAGAGCGTGAACCAAACCGTTGCTTACATACACAATATGCCAAGTTGTATCTTTATGTAAATTTAGTGATCTGCCATTCGCGCCACCCTTGCACTGTTGGTAAAAGTAACAAACACTGTTGCCATCTTTACTTTAAGTAGGATCTGAACTCGAGCCAAAACTCTTCTTGACTTACATATTCTAAACAAAAATTCCTCAGTTAATCAAGTAAAACCTCGATAATCATGGTAAAATATCCACATTTTTAGCCTATTTCCTTTATGGGAATGAAGTGGTTACCACAATTGGCACGGTAAGACCTTTATGCCTACATCTTCTTAAAAATACCAAAGATAATGTTGCAAAGATGGTTAAAACTCAACAGTATTAGTCAAATATTAGATTTTAGCGAATTTCCTTAAAGGGAAGTAGCTATTGACGTAGGTGGCATGGTAAGACCTAGGCCCGGCACCGATTTACTTCTTCATTTTGATGTCTCCAGAGGCCAAAACACTATTCGTTCAAAATTTTATATGTATAGATGTATATATATATATATATAAATCTATATATAAATCAAATTTCTGTATGTATGTGTGTCCGTGAACACGACAACTTGAGTAATTTTGTTATGATCTTGATGAAGTTTGGTTTGAAGGTGTAAGGCGCGCGCGATAACCTTGAATGAGTTCGCGAACCAGCATGATCGGACCATGGGAACGGTGTTTTAAGAGGGGTTTTATTGGGTAAAAATAGGTTTTTCTAATTTCTGATCCTCGAAACATAGAATTTCCCAATTTTTCTCTCTAGACGATTTTAAAGAGCTAAAAAACTGAATAATGAATAATGAAGTTTATTTCCCACAAAAAAACCACAATATAACAATACATGAGATGTAGAGAAATAGAACTGGCTACTTGATCCAGTAGTGTAACCAGTTTGCTTATACTAACTTATCGGCTAACATGACGTTGTAATTTATGGTCTAGCATCTGTTATAAAACATTGAATTCCGCCTGAACTGTGCATCTGATGGACAAAACAAAGAACTGTTTTAATAAACAATGAAAGTTATTACAACAGGATATTATTGATATAATTTATGTCCTGCTGAGAAGAAAGCCAAATTATCGTTGCTTTGCTAAAATGCTTTAAATTTAAACTATTCTTTATTTGAAGTGGTAGATAATTATAGTATTTTGGACCTAGATATTGAAAAGAGTGACGAAAAATAGCTTTATTTACTTTGGGTAGTTTCAGAGTATTATTGGTAATGCTTCTTGTTATGTATGTGTGTGTAATATTTGGTATGACGTTAACTCTGTTTCCACTTCGAACAAAAAACAGTCTAAGAACTTTGAAAACAAAAAGGTGCTGTATGGGCAAAATTTTTAACTGTTGGTAGAGTGGAAATGAACTTGTTCTTTTAGGTTGTTTCAAAATTATCCGCATAAAAAAGTTTTGTGTTGTTCTTAATCTATTTATCAAGGTCAATTTATCAACTAACAAATAAGTATATTTAAATGTTTTTGTACGTTTATTGGTTACGGAAACAATTTAAAATACTTAAAAATTCCCACGCTATTTTTATGGAGAATATTTCAAAATGATTCAGTTTGCCTGTTTATGGATATACTTTGATCAAACTTGGCAAATTCATTTACTTTATACTAAGCTATTACAAAAACCCTCTCTGTAGCAGCAAACCTAGGTACTTGTTAGACATAATGCGATTTAAATAGATTTAATTGAAAATCCAATCAGGCATGGCAATTTGCTTAGTCTGCAAGATTGCTGTGGGGGGGGGCGTATTTTATGTTACTGTAACAAAATATTGAGTCTATTTAGCAACATAGATTTTTCATAGTATTGGGGGACGAGCTTGTCTAGTGGAAGGTCCCGGATTCAAATCCTATCAATCACTAATGGATTTCACTTAAGTGGCAACCTAGCCTGAAGTAATGTAAAAACGGTTCCAGGCTATTGCGTAGCTCCTAGAATGTGAAGGTGGGACATAAACAAAGTTGAAATTACTTCATCTATGGTATTAGCAAGAAAGCAACAATAGCTTGCTAAATGTATGTCAAGTTCACTAGTAAGAGAGGCCTGATAAGAGGGTAGTTTTAATTGGTTGGCATTGTTTCAGTTACCCTATTGTCCTATGTTTTGTCCTAGTGTTCTCTATTGCACCCACTACTCACGAAAAGTGGATACTGTATTTACATTTTCGGCTGTAAACAGCATTTGTAGAGTTGGAGTGGCCATTCACACATTGAACGTTCATTTACTTGAGGCAAACGAGAATAATTTAACTACTGTAACATGAAAGATTTGTAGATCCTGTGGTTTCCTAGAATATATTATATTGAGACACATTATGACATATTAGAAATATTATGTTTGTTTTAGACAGTTAGTGCCGGGAGACCGAAACTTGCTCGGTTGTGGTTAATTGGGTTTAACATCGTAAACAGACATTTTATAATTTACGAAAAGCGTTTGATTCACTAGTAACCATAGACTAGAAATAATAACAAATCTGTAATGTAAAAGTATGCCATTAAACAAAACAAAGTACACTTTTATGATCTTGCTTAAGTTAAGTACTACTAGCATGGAATTTTTCTTCCCTCCAGTCATTGAAACCAGTAGTTCGACTTTTATGCTCACCAATAACAGCAGATAAAACTATAATATAAACAAAATCATTGTAGTTTCAACATGGCTTGTGACAACGATTTTATGTTTTTTCGCTACTACTTATAAAGCAATTGAGATTCTGCATTTTTTCACTTGGATTTAGCATACAGGAATATTTTTATGCCAATTCAAACCCCCAGATGTTATTAGTTTACTTGGAATGCCTCAGTATTTCGGGGACTACGTTTTGGTGAGAGAGCACTTAGTAAAATAGTCAGTATTAAATCGGTACTATTTCCCCCTATATCAAGTAATCTTCAGGGTAATCTTCTGGTTGTAATCTTTGCTCAATAGTACACAACTAATGTGTTTCTCTTTGTACTGTATTTTGTAATTTGCTAGTATACTGTGTGGATGGCTTGTTATAAACACATGTGACAAATATTTTGTTTATTTTTCCTTGTTATTTTGTTCAGCCAACATAGTTAACTTAGCTACCCATAAGGCCAAATATTAAAATTTTAAATTTTCAAATGAGCTGGGTAGCGAAATACGAATTTTCCTGAGGTAGTGGCTGTTGTCAATCACGTTTTAGGCCTATAAGTCCGCTGGACTTCGAGATATATATTACAGACAGACAGGCAAACATACATAGTTCGTTTTAAGGGAATAGAATTAGGCGTAAACCAAATAATTTACAATAAATAAAATTTTTCAGTTATAGATCTATACCATAACGAGAATTTACCTAACTCAATCAGGTTACAATTATCACTAAAAGTAGCCTAGGCTATTTAAAATGTATTTTATGAACTGTGCCAACTATTGTTTACTGTCTGACTGTAATCGAAAACTCAACTGAAGGATCAGCTGATATTAAATTACAATTCATAAAACTGTTATAAAAAAAGTTGATTCGCCTCTCTGGATCTTTGAAATTGAACTCTTGAAATAAATAATAAATCAAACTCAAGGGGAGAAAACCCTAATAAAATTACCGTTTTAGTTACCATTTGCATCTCCGCTAGATCATAAGCTTTAAAATGACACCTCAGTCGTAAAAATTGGTTAGGTAGGGCGGCTGGAAAATGGACGTTACAGAGAAAATCTATATTGTATTAAGTTTA